ATATTTTATTTCAGTAGCCAAACTATTTTATATTTTTATAACTATCTGCCTTGGCCATGTGTCTCAGTTGGAGCGCCTTCCTGTACACCAGAGGGTTGCGTGTTCAATTCTGATCAGGGCACATACCTAGGTTGTAGGTCCCACCCTCCTCCCCAGGCAGGTATGGAAGGCAAGCCATCAATGACGTTTCTTTCTCTCTCTCTCCCTCCCTTCTCTAAAATTTCAAAAACAAAACATGTTAAAGAGAGGATCTTAAAAGCAGCAAGAGGAAAGGAGAAAGTAACCTACAAAGGAGTCCTGTAAGACTGTCACCTGATTTCTCAAAAGCTTAAAAGCAAGAAGGGGCTGGAAAGAAGTATTCCAAGTCATGAAATCCAAAGACCTACATCCAAGATCGCTGTATCCAGGCAAAGCTATCATTTAGAATGGAAGGGCAGATAAAGAGCTTCTCAGATAAGGCCAAGTTCAAGGAGTTCATCATCACCAAGCCCTTATATGAAATGCTAAAGGGATTTATCTAAAAAAAGGTAAAAAAAAAAAATATGAACAGTAAAATGGTAACAAATTCCCAACTATCAACTGAACCTAAAAAACAAAAACAAGAACTAAGCAAACAACTAGAACAGGAATAGTATCACAGAAATGGAGATCACATGGAGGTTTATCAGGGTGGAGGGAATGGGGGTGGAGGAGTGGGGGAAGAATGGGGGAAAAGGTACAGGGAATAAGAAGTATAATTGGGAGGTACAAAAGAGACAGGGGGAGGTGAAAAATAATATAAGAAATGGAGAAGCCAAAGAACTTATATATATAACCCATGGACATGAAGTAAGGGGGCGGAAATGCTGGAGGGAAGGAGGTGCAGGGCTGAGGGGAATAAACAGGAGGAAAAAATGGACCACTATAATAGCACAATCAAGAAAATATATTAAGTAAATAAATAAACACTTTATAAGTGAGACTTTTACAGGTATTGGACAACTGTAATAGCATAATCAATAAAATATACTTAACTTTTTTAAAAAAAATCTTAAAAAAGAAAAAAAACATGTCCTCGGGTGAGATTAAGAAAAAAAGAATTTAACTCTCTTACTCGCCCTACCCAAGAACAAAAAATGCTCAGGACTAAGATTAAAATACAACAATTATTAAAATTTCAAGATAAAAAAGAGGAATAGGTTTTTGATAAAGGGGAAAAGAGAAAGTTCTTAAACAGAAGGCAAATGATTAATATGTACCATGTATAAAGAGCACCTATTATTCAGTAAGTACAGATAGCCTTAAAAAAAACTAATTATTTTATAGAGGGAGAGGGAGGGAGAAAGAGAAACATTGATGTGTGAGAGAAACATCAATCGGTTGCCTCCTGCACACCCCCAATTAGGGACTAGCCTGTGCTCAACCCACTGAATCATAGTAGCAAGGGTTAGACAGCCTTTTAGGAAGGCAATTTGGCATCTACTGAAACCTGAATGTACATTAAGAATGCACATTTTTAGTGGAAATACTTGCTTACATATGCATGTGCACAAAGTTGTAAGAAGTTCATTAAGGCTTTAGTGAACTTAGTTGCTCAAAACTGAAACTAACATAAATGACCACAAATGATTAAGGTACAACTATACAGTGGAATATCTCATGAGTGGTGAAAGATGAGATTATAACTATTTGTATCAATACAAAAAATGCAAATTAACCATTTTTAATTTTAAAAAGTAAGGCAAAAACTACACACGGTACTTATTTCTAATCGCATAGATAAAACAAAATTAACAGTGGATACCTCTAAAGAATGGGACTAGAAAGTGAGAAAAGACTAGTAATCTTCACTTTTTACTCTAAATAACTGACTTGCTTAAACCTTTTACACTAAGCATGTTCCTCTTTCGGATTTTAATTTTAAAATAAAGGAAATAACAATGGTCTGTTATAATAGTTATCCTTGAGGGCTGAAAATAGTGATATTTATTCTGTTCCCTAATAATTTTCATCACTTGCCAAATTTTCCATAAGAAATTATGCCTATTTAAAAAATATGAGTAGCCTATAGTCCAAAAAACCTTTATCTTATTTCAGAGGTGAAACTAATTTTTTCCTGAAAAAATAATTAACGGTTATGGTCTCAGAAACTTGGTCCTGAGATTCCAATCTCTTTCAGAAAGTAGTCTTAAATCTAAGTTTGGGAACAGAACATTTGCTGTAGAAGCAATGAAATGTAAAACTCATTTTAGAATGGAATATTAATTAACATTTATTAAGCATACTACTAAATACTTCACCTGCATTATCACATTGCTCTAAAAAGCCCTATGAAATCTATATTATATCATTATTATTCTTCCCATTTTACAGATTAAAAAAATATCAGGTCTTGAAATGAATGTATATCTTGGCCAAGATCAAGTAGGAAGAACCAGGGTTTAAAACCAGGTCCCCAGCTCTTAACCACCTGGAATACATGGAATATGTAAGTACTAATGAACCTCAGAGATAACAAACTAAAACTAAAACCACCTGGAATACATGGAATATGTAAGTACTAATGAACCTCAGAGATAACACACTAAAACTCAAATCCTGCATGAGTGTCCAGATTGACTCCTATTAATGAGGTTAGTGACCCTAAAATGAAGAAGTAGGGAAACTCAATTCTGGTCACAGAAGAAAACAATCAGTATTCCTCCTTCAACATAACAGGAGTTATTTTTTCCTTCTCTTTCTGCTTCTACCAAAGTACAAGAAAGATACAAGGGACAACTCAGATGTAAAACACCACCTTCTCTATGATTAGTCTGGAAGTAGGCCTTTGAAAACAAATTTATCAGAACCCCGAAGCTTTAAACAGGGCCCAGTTTCAAATGTTCATTGCCAAAAGAAACCTTGCATTGATTATTACAATAATCAATATTAACAGGTTAAACATAGGATTTAATAGTACCTACTTATTTCATTCTTAGCTATTGGAATAAGTTCTCTTTTTAAAAAAAGTATAATTGAAAACTTATCCTTAGCTACCTGAACAAGTTCTAAGTTTTCTCTTTAAAGAAGTAATAATTGAAAAAGAAATATACACCCTGTTAACCATGCATACTTGGAAACTGGCCTATCGCAAATATCACAGAAACACAGGAACCCCTATTCATTTGTTCAGTAGATATACTCCAACTACAAACTCACTGTAACTTTATGAATTTGGTATTAAATGTCACAAAGTCCAGAAGAAGAACGCGCTCTTTGAATAACTGGTAAACCAGGAATCAAGGCCCTAAGGGAAACACCACACACAGGCGCCCTTCCTTAGCTTACAGAAAGAACTAGCAGAGAAGCTGCTGTCCCAGACCAAGCTTTGAATGCCAACATTCCATACCTTAACGCCTCATGCCAACAAGACCTCTCATTAGGTTGAGGACAACTGACCGTGCCAAATGATGACAGTACTGAAGCTCAGTACTAAGTCTAAGGTAACAATGGACTGTTTAGTGAAAACACAAAACTCACTAAATTTAGGTTAATATCTTTCATCAAACCCTGAATGTGGGTTCAACAGATATTACAGGTCAAAAACATTTTAAGGTTCACTTGTCACAATGTAAATCAGTGTTCTCTGTAAATCAGATTTAAAAGCCAAGGATGAAAGACCTACCTTAAATCAATACCCTAAATAGGAGACCATGAACAAAGCTTTCATTTAGATATATGTACAAGTTTCACATACTTATAAAATATAAAAATGAGTATGAGTGTGTTTCACAAATGCCACAGAGCATCTGGAAAAGTTGACAAGTTCTAACCTGCTTTAAAAATTATTATTCACTGCCTTCATCCCAATCTAACTTCATTTAATGTTATTCTTTTGGATAACCCTACAAAAACAAAACCCCCAGAGCAAATTCTTGTACATTTCAATATCCTGCCTACTTTATAAGAGCGGAAGAGTCGAACTGAGCAGGGGAAAAAACGTGACGTGCGCAACCTTGATCCAAAACACAGCTCGTCGTAGTCTAATTTTAGGCCTAACCATTTTGATTGTCTTTTTACAGAGGTTAAAAAAGAAAACTATAGAGCACTTGCAAAGCAGAACTGAAATGATTATGTCAATGGGAGTTGGTGTTATTTATGAAGGAGGAAACAAATCACGCTCAATCCAGAGTATTCCCATTTAGTGATTAAGATACAAGAAAGTACAACCCTATAGCAACTGACAATGGCAATTACTTTTAACACTTCAGTTCTTGGATGAACTTTATCTTTAAAGAACTGGTCAAAAGGTTTAAGTCCACTGAGAAATTTGTGGGAACGTTGTGTGTGTGCGCGCGCACTGGTGTGTGTTGTTTTGAAGAAAACCAAACATGGTTAAAAGTCAGTCTACATCTAAATTACCTAAAGAAACAAATAGTCACCTTCTGGCTGAAGATTAGACAAAAATCAGAAGATCCCAAAGTCCTGTCCTTAAGGGCAGGCCCTCAAACTCTCGGAAAACTATACGCTTTCACGAATGCGAAATATGGAAGAGATTAGATTTTAGTTTAGAAATAGGACTCGAGACAATATGCCTAAGCAGTAAAACTGGGATGAACAGAGTGGGCTAGTAAGGAGGGGCTGGGGCTCAGTAGGACAGGAAAAATCCAAGAATAAAAACCGAGACGGCTGGTCGAACACTTAAGTAAAGGCAGAAAAGGAGGTTGAAACTCGAGAGAAGGAAGACCAGGAGAGAACAGAGCCCACGGCGCGACATAGGGCAGGGCTGGGTCCAGGAAGAGTTAGCCCTCACCGGCCCAGCAAGCTTCCCACTTCGGGCAAAAGCAGAGAAAAAAACAGCCCTAGGGAGCAGACAATGAGCCACCGCCCCAGGATCCGCGGCTTCAGGCACGCAGGTGGCGGCGGCCCCAGCCCTGAGAAGAGCAGGTCGGCTGCCCCAGGCCGCCAGCGCCCGCCAGGCCGCGAAGAGGGAAAAAGGAAGGAGAGCGACGGCCCGCATCCCGGCCAGTGTGCACACTTACCCCTGGCGAGGAAAGGTCCCCGCCCAGCGAAGTGCCTCCGTCCGAGTTCCCAGCAAGCTGCGGCGCCGCCCGGGCAAGCGCGCGGCGCGGGGCGGGGTGGGGTGGGGACGGAAGGGGGAGCAGGACGGGAAGACGAGCCGCGCTGCAGCGCAGCCGCTGCTACCGCTAGGCCGAGCGAGCGGACGCTGGGTGGGGAGGACAGGGAGACTTCGGCAATGGCGACGGCCCGCGCTAGAAGGGAAGCGGAACAACCGCCGTCCCAGCGCGTGGCCACAACCCTGGGGGAGGGCCAAGGCAGCGAGTGGGGAGGGGCGGAGCCAGGACACCCCGCCCACTGCCGGCCTTTAGGCCTCCAGCTCTGCGGGGCGGAGAGGGACCCTGCCTCCCAATGGGCGGGCACGCGTGGGGGCCGCTGGGAGTTGTAGTCGGAAATGTGGACAACCCCTCTCTTTCTTCGAGGGCGGGGTGAGGTATGCTTTATATTGAGGTAGACAGCCAGTTCCTCATCTAATTCAACTTCGTCTGCCTCAGTTCCGTACCAACCAAAGATGCTGACAGATGACTGCTATCACATGAACCTGCTCCAGGACATTTGTGGGAATTAATCCATTATCCATGTTGCTTTTTACCTACAAACTCATCTATATTATGCTGCTAAGTCCCACCTCCTTAAAAACTAAGGCCTCCATGTTTTATCCTCGGAGGAGTTATCAGTGTATCCACTAACACTACAAGTGTTTGTCTAATATGTACCAGAAGTCCTCAGGGATATAATGGTGAACATGAGTCACTGCTTATGTAGTTTACAAATATTAAAACACAGTAATAGCCCTGGCTGGTGTAGCTCAGTGGATTAAGTGGCTGCCTGCAAACCAAAGGGTCCCCAGTTCCATTCCCAGTCAGGTCACAAGCCTGGGTTGTAGGCCAGGTCCCCAGGAGGGGGCGTATGAGAGGCAACCACAGGATGATGTTTCCCTCTCTCCCTCCCTTCCCCTCTCTAAAAATAAATAAATAAATAAATAAATAAATAAATAAATAAATAAATGTTTTAAATTAATAAAGCTATATCTGATATGAGGAGAAACTGGGGAGATTACTTTGGATAGCTCCACTAGAGAAGGAATCTTTTTTTTTAAATCCTCACCTGAGGATATGTTTATTGATTTCAGAGAAAGGGTAGAAGGGAGAGAGAAGAAAATCAATGTGAGAAAGGAACAGCCATTAGTTGCCTCCTGCATATGCAGGACCAGGGATTGAATCTGCAACCTAGGTATGTGGCCTGACATACCTAGGAGCAGTATGGAATGGGAAACATTTCTGTGCACAGGAGGACACTCCAACCAACTGAGAGCCTGGCCAGGGCCAAAGAAGTCATGTTCAAGGAGGTGACATTTAATCTGAGAACAGAGAGCACTACCAGCAGCACCAAGGAGAAAGCATCTCAAGCGGGAGGAAGAAAAGCCTTGCTAATTTCAGACAAGGAGGACTGTGTACCTGAAACTTAGGGCAAGAAGGGTAGTGTAGTATGAGAACACTAGAGTAAACAAGATTCAAGTCAGGAAGGATCTTTGAATGCTATGGTAAGGAGTTTGGATTTTATTCCAAGAAATTATTTAAGCAGGGAAGGAAATGTTATCTGGATTGCACTTCAAGATCACTAGATTTCTATGTGAAGAATAGAGTACAGAAATGCAAGAATAGAAGAGAAATGAGCTAGGTAGGCAGTAATCATGACTGATACAAGGGAGATAGCAGTAGAAATGGAGAAAAGTAGACAGATTGTCCTCATTTATAGTATAGAGCGAAAGACTCAATTGATAGGAAGAGGACAAAAGGAATCAAAGAGCAACATGATGCATTATTAGATAACCTTCAAAACAATCTCATTATTAAAAACACAAAAATGCTGGATAAACTAGAACATCTTTTCAAAGGCATAACTAAGCTTTCAAGAAAGTAAGAGTAATATCTCTGATAGTCTTCCAAACTCAGCCCAAAGAGGAAGAAACCAGAGTAGTAATCAGAGCAGTGAAGCCATGGTGGTGTAGAGGGGATCTACTTACCTCAAAAATCTCTTTTGTGTCATGGAGTGCAAGAGAGACAGGACGCCAAAGACAGTGCTAACTCCTTGGGCATGTAGGACTAATTCGTAAGGAATTAGGATTGTGTCCTGGGAAACCCAAAGGGCTATACCCTCCAAAAACAGACTGGGAAAAAAATTGCTATACCCATCCAGGGAGACAACATTTCTATGTTTTAGCCTGGACTTGGCAAAGAGGGGGTAACAAATTTCCCTTTAGATGGCATAACCACAAAGTTTCCTTAATATGAGTTTGAAAGTTGAAATTTACTGTTCCTGTATATACTACAGGAACTGTATACACTATAGGAACTGTATACACTACACACAAAACCTGAAGTCGAGAAAGTGGTCCCAGGCTGGTAGTACTTAGAGGCCTGGAAGAAACAAATACGAAGCCTCACTGCACAGGTTCGCTCAGCCCGGGTCTGAAAGACTTTCCACAGGTAAAAAGAGTATCAAACCAAAAATATAATTACAATATTCCTAAGGAAAATAAGCCACCATGAGTAAATACAAACCACATCCAGAATAATGAAGCCCATGAACTTTATCTTTTAACTTTTTGAATATATGAACATACTATGTATGTATGTGAATACTGTGCGTATATTTTTAAAGATTTTATTTATTTATTTTTAGAGAGAGGGGAAGGGAGGAAGACAGACAGGGAGAGAAATATGCATGTGTAAGAGAAACATTTATTGGTTGCCTCTTGCACGCCCCAAACTGGGGACCTGGCCTGCAACTCAGGCATGTGCCCCGATTGGAAATTGATCCAGTGACCTTCAGATTTGCAGGCTGTGCTCAGTCCATTAAGCCACATAGCCATGGTGCCCATGAACTTTAGATATTAGAATTATTGTTTATAGAATAAAATAAGTTTAATAAAATGATTAAACAAAATAAGACATGAACATGAAACAAGAATCTTTTAAATGATATTTTATTGATTATGCTATTACAGTTGTCCTGATTTTTTTCCCCTTTGCCACCCTCTGCCATCCACTCAGTGCCCCCTACTCCCCAAACAGTCCCCTCACCATTGTTCATTTCCATGGGTCGTATGTATAAGTTCTTTGACTACTCCATTTCCTACAGTATACTTTACATCCCCATGGCTAGGCTAGTCTGTAACTACGAATTTGTACCTCTTACTCCCCTCACCTCTTTTTACCCATTCTTCCCACCTCCCTCCCATCTGGCAACCTTCTGATAACTGACTTCTTTTCTCTTCCTTTTAAGAGTCTCTATCTTTAACCTTTGGCCTTTTAATAATGATGTGTCTTGGAGTGGTCCTCTGTGCAGCCATTATAATTAGGATTCTCTGTGCTTCCTGCACTTGCAAGTTTATTTCCTTCACCAAATTAGGAAAGTTTTTCTTTCACTATTTTTTTCACATGGATTTCCCATTTCTTGCTCTTTTTCTTATCCTTCTGGCACCCCTATGAGGCAAATATTGGACCTCTTAAAGTTGTCCCAGAGGCTGTTTATGTAACAGGGTGCGGCCAAGGGGGGATCCCCAAATAGGGATTTGTAATAGGGTCCAGAACTCAGGGTGTCAAGGAAATATTAGAAAAATACATATATAGGATGTCCCCACCCCTTCAAGTCTGAACTGGGGGAGGGGAGACATGAAGCAGGGCAATTGAGAGTTGTTCTGCATAACAACAGTTTAGCAAATAACCTCAGGCATGGTCAATGAACATATCTAGAATTTTTAACTGGTTTCATGGATATGTTAAATAGCTGTGGCTGTGCTTTGAGCCAAGGGAATGGAAGTGACTTCAATCCATGATGCAACTGGGAGGCAACTCCCCCCGGTTACAGCGCCTGTGTAAGACCTTGGAGATGATTGACTCCATGCCATAGGGGCCATGCCTGCCCAGGCTTACTATGGCAGCCCAGTAGCACTGGAAGAATACAGGAATGCTGGCAGTAATGGTGGTAGGAGGAGTTGGAAATAGTGCTGCAGAGGAAGATGGCGCTGGGATTTAAAGTTCTCCAGGCATGGAGAACTTCCAGGCAAGATGGAGGCATATGTGGAAACATTGTACCTCCTTGCACAACTAAGTTTAAAGACGACAAAGTTTTAGTAACAAAAACACAACCAAAACACTGAAAACTGAACTGTATGGGAGTCCAACAACAACGAACCATTCAGCCAGGCTGGCAAGAGGGGTGGAGTCAGCGGCTGGCAGGCCAGGGTCAAACAGGAAAAATCAACCAGACTGACCCAGGAGTGCAGGTGGTGGTCGGCAGATCTCCCGAACGGGGTAGCAGCAGGCAGACCCAGTGAGGGTGAAAGGTGGCTGGCTGATTGCAGTCACAAATTTGCATTCAGATAAACCAGGCAAAGGAGCGAGCAGTGAGACAGACCACGCAGGCTAGGGCCCCAGTGATGGGAATTAAAGCCTAAAAGCGCTGATTGGAAAAACTGTCGGGGTTGAGGTGCTGGGAGAGGTTCCCAGGCTCACAGAGAGTTTGTTGGAGAGACCCAAAGGGTCCTGGAGGGTGCACAGACCCACACACCTGGGAGCTGGCACTAGGAGAGCCCGGTTTGCTTGTATGAAGCAGCAGAGGAGATTGAAATCCGAGAGAGAGCAGAACAAACACCATTATTCCTCTCTGACCCCTCCCCCACATACAGTGTTACAATCCAGTGACTGGGTCACCCCACCCTGGTGAATACCTAAGGCTCTGCCCCTCATCCTTAACAGGCGTGAACAGATGAAAACATTATTGCTCAAGCAGAAAAAGAACTCAAAGCCCCAGAGCCAATAAATCTAAGTGACCGAGAAATAGCCAGCCTATAAGATGCACAGTTCAAAACACTGGTGATCAGGATGCTCACAGAACTGGTTGGTTTCAGTCACAAATCAGAGGAACAAATGAAGACTAAATTAAGTGAAATGAAGGAAAATGCACAGGAAACCAATAGTGATGGAAAGGAAACTGGGACTCAAAGCAAGGGAGTGGACCAGAAGGAAGAAAAAAATGACCAAACAGAACAGGATGAAGAAACAAGAATTCAAAAAAATGAGGAGAGGCTTAGGAACCTTCAGGACATCTTTAAATGTTCCCACATCCGAATTATAGGGGTACCAGAAGGGGAAGAGGAACAGCCACAAGTGGAAAAACTTATCTGAACAAATAATAAAGAACTTCCCCAATCTGGCAAAGGAAATAGACATCCAGGAAATCCAGGAAGCTCAGAGAGCCCCAAAGAAG